CCCCTCCCCCCTTAAAATCTCACGTAATTTATGGACACCCCCTTACCAGTCAATTTATAAACTAAATTAAAATAAAAATAAACATTGATATTCACAAATTTTGTTATAAACTAATGTTTATAACAAACAATATTTCTCGCTTCAGATATAGGATTTTTGGGCATTTTCAAAATTAATATTTTCACAAATATTCACAACAATTTACACTTTGACTTGACAGTTGTCAACAGTAGACAAATTATATTGCCCGAAAATCGAGATTGTTTCTGGTCTTCGATTTTGTTTCATTCATTTCATTTTACGTTTGAAATTATTTTATTCACTTGGCATTTGCAGAATTGTGTGAAATGCGAAATAAACCTACTGCAGATAAGACATTATAAGAAATTGTTTCTTTTGTTATTGTGCCGTCAGATTCTTATACACGCAAATGTGGGACACCTATAAAATTAAAATACCTACTTTACTCTTTGATTATCCCTATGTACATACGGCTGCACGCCATGCTATCACAATATGTCAAATTACCACTGTTTATTAAGGTCTACCGTTAATGCAATAAGTAAGGTATAAAATCAAGTGAAGAAATTTGTCAGTTTTGTATAACCTACAGGTTGCACATGCTGTTGACTGTACTTTACTCTTTGCTATAGTGTAATATTGACAAGTTCGATTCACTTTCGATTTTTTTTTAATTATATATTTACCGATATCTTGTACACCTATAAAGCAAATGCAAAGACAATTATAAGTAAACACTGCATGCAATCCAATAGCTTAATCTATCTATAAAGTAACAGAAACAGTATATCAACTACATTATACTTAAAATAATTATACAGTATTTCTTTGAATTTACTCTTTGACAATCAATTTATGTCAGTTCTATTACTAGTACTATTGTATAATCGATTCAAACATAAAACAGGTGAGTTAAATCCTATTTCTTATATATATTAAAAAATTTGAATTGTTTCTACCAATTATACTTATGATAACAGAAAAACCAATATCAGTGTTAGCTACAACAGTAACATACTTTTTACATGGTTTATAATAACGGTATGATATCAAAGTTTGCAGAGGTTAGTGGTGGGTGCGGCAGCCAGTCCATCAATTTACTAAAAATGGCACGGTCAGAGGTAACGAGGTCAGTTCCCATCGTCAATGTCTTCGCGTACCTTTATTGTTGTACCTTTACTATCATTCCAAATGTATCTTTTAGGCTCTATTGTTAAGTCATAAAATTCCTCAGCAGGAGAATTGTGAGGTTCTTCTGACGTTGGGTAGTTGCTATTGTGTCAAATACACAGACTAAAAATGTCAGGGTTCAACGACATACTACTGTCGTGCCGCCAGCGCGTGTTAGTTTTGAAAATTCAATAAGAGTAGCTAAATTACGTAGAGTCCATGACCTCCCTGCAGTATTTCTATTTTCTACTAAAAGCAGTATTGTTGTCTTTCACGTCACAATAATAGAGTTGTGCCGACATAAATTGTAACAGTAATATTGTATACCTTTTTTAATTAAAGTAAAGGAGTCTCTATGCCGCCATATTCAATGATAGACCATCACTTGTATCATCAAAATTTTAATGCATAATTATTCTAAGTATACACTGAAATTCAACTATATATACTTATATAAGAATATTGTGTCAGTTTTTTTTTTTTTGCAGACAAGAAAACACCCAAAGAAAAGCAAACAGCACAGTAACAACAATCCAATAATAGATTTTGTCCTGATAAAACATACTGTAATAAAAAGTCACAATTTAACTACTTAACATGTTGTACCACATCAGCAGTTACCGTGACTGTTATAATAATATTATCTAAAACGTGCGTACATTCTCTAGAAATTCTTAATGTTTGTAGAGTGACGAGCTCTCAAATTGGCGACAGTTAAGGCATGAACACATTTATTATCAATTAAAATTTATAATTCTTTGATTAAACAAATATCCTCTTGATGTTTTCGTTTTTAAGAACGATATCTTCAAAGAACTTGTTCTATCAATTTTTAATGATTTCTGTTTTATTCATTTTAGTTGAATCAGTAGAATTATTTGAAATAAACCTACAGAAATCAATAAAATAAAGTTCTTTTTCTAGCTGGTAATATTAGTTTTAAGGAAATCTTAGACTTTGACTGGTTCTCATACCCGTTATGAATTCCCATAATGTGTCATAGTTACAACGTTAATCGAATAGAATTAAAGGTATTGAAAGTTATAAACTCCCATAAAGTTCAGGATAATATATCTAAAGTGAACGTACACTACACAGTTATCCGAAACTTTGCTACATCATCTTAAAACAAAGTACTATTTTAAAATTCATATTTTTAAAAGCTAACATAAAGTTGTTTCACTAAACTTCAAATGATGGGACACGCGTGAATCACAATCATAATTCCCCAACACAATCGCAACATCCGTCCTGCTATTATAATTCCGCGATTACGACAAAGTCTTGATCACAAACAGTTATAATAAACGCAAATGCTACGTCGATTACAATCACTCGATATTTCTTATTGTCGATAAGATAACTAACTAGTTTTCTTCGATTCGGGTCAGTGTTATTTTAGTTTGATAGGCTTCGGTGCTTTGGAGCGTAACGCCTTGTGGTAACGTCGGATTATGAATGAGGTTAATAAGTTAGGGTGAATAATGCAATTAACTTACCATACAAAAAAAAAATACATAACAAACTATAAAACCAATGACGCGGTTACTTTGCAATTTACGTCACAATATGACGTCTATAATAGAAATCTCGTGAAGATAAGATTTTTAATGTGATAAAGATCTGAAATATCCATTTCTCTTCTTAATTCTGTAAATGATGTATCAATCATCAATTACCATTTTGTACTTTCGTTTTCTCGTTGCCATTATACAACAAATTTACGGTGACTGGTGTTTTTTACTCTTTCTGGTAACAATTTAGCCAAGTACGCGCTTTCGGTTGCTTGCCTCGTTTCCTCCGGTTGGACCACATAATTTCTATCCGTTTATTTACGCTACTCTTGTATTGTTTATGGGTACGCTTTATCTATTTCTCGTAATTTTGCATAATTTTACAAATCGACTTTATGAGGTTTCCAGTTAATAACACTACTTTCCAAGTCTCACTCACTGTTCCAACAAATCTCATTAGATGGGAACAGAGATAAAAAATTTAACTCGATCTCTTTATCGTTTCTGAATAAATAAATAGGAAGTCGACATCGTCACAATTATTTTAAAATTGCGAATATGTAATTAAAATTATACAATGATGTCTGAAATACTCTTACCTGAACTCCGTGTAATAAAGTTGCTTTAGTTTTGTTTTTGTTTGGGTAGTAATTGGCAAAATATTGAAATTTTGTTAGGAGAGCAACAAAAGTTCATTGTTGAGAGAAGACTTATAAAAACAACGTTACAGTACTTGATATTACTTTTATCGGTCAACAGTATTTGCTGAATTTTATTATTTATATTGTTTTTATAAGTAATTATTTTTTAATTTGGTTTATCGTTTCTTAGACTTATTTCATTTTTACTATACCTATTGCATTTTTACGTTCTCTAATATGTTGTAGGCTTATGAATATTCATATTATGTTAAAAAAAACTTCATACATTATAATCAATGTTGAATCTTTTAATCATTTCTATATCTGTATTTGTCTGTCTCAGGTTAACCTTAAAGATAAAGCTGTTTTCTACTTATTTCACAGTTCAATATTCTGTTAATTGAGTCAGTCTGTTAAGGTCAGCAGTTAAATGCTTTTGTTTCAATAGTCCAGTTGGGCCACAGCTGTTTTCGTTTTTTGCTTCCGGCCGGCGTTCTACCGGAACGGTGTGGTGTACTGACAACACAGTCAATGTTTTATCTCGATTCTCGACGTTACGTCATTCGTATGTAAGAAAGTTATAATTATGCTCAACCCGTCACGAAAGTGAGTTAATTATATTTTATCCACGTCCGTTATATGACCGTAATAATAACATAATTGTTTGTACTACAAATTATGAATGACGTAATATTTAATTTTTAAACTAAGTCCGATGGACTAATTTTTCACGTATACGTGCACCGAGCTTCCTCGTGAGTTTGTTCGTGTTAATTAATCATTAGTGATTCTTCTTGGAGATCATTATAGAAACGCATTCGTGATTAGATTGCCATTAAAATCTAGTTTCGTATGCTATGTTAGTTGTCATGGATGTTTTCTGATAATTTTGGGATGTCTATTTTTGCAATCGGATAACGTTCTTAGTATGCAGTAACCAATGCCAGTTTATAAAATTTCATCACAGGTTTCAAAAGCTAATATTGTGCTTCATTACGTTGAGATCTACAACTACTATTAATCAAGTTCAAGAACTGCTTATCAAGTTTGTCAGCTTATGAAAAATATTCTTAACCATTAATTTTAATGGGGTAACCGGAATAATAATAATAATAATAATGCATTCAAATTCGTAGTCGTTTAATTCGAATAATACTTGCAGTGTGAGTTTGTGAATTGGCAGGAAGTACCTAATTTATAAAAGATCATAATTAAATGAGTCATTCAATAAGATTGGTTGAACTGCCAATGGCTTGATTAATGTTACACAGATGGCTCCAACTGTAAAAGAAATGCTATTAGATACTTAAATAAGAAGATGGTTTATTGTAAGTTCTTTACAATCCATTTTAAAAATGATAAACGATACTAAACTGGAATTACCAATCGTCCTGGTTTCCCATATTTTCGTGGTTTTTCTAGTGTTCGTGTTCGTGTTTGTTGTTATAGTTTTTAAGCAGCGTCCTGGATTTTAAAAAGTCATGTATTTTAACTTTACCAATAACTCTTATAACTTATAAATTCAATAAAAGTATTTATATCAGTGTAACGAAACGATAATTATAAGAACAACTTTGTTAATAACTGGTACAAGACAAAATACCTATGTATGTAAATACTAGTGTTATTAACAATACTTTTTGCGTTGTTACAGTGAACAATGACGATTGACAAGCAGCTAGTATGGGTACGGGACCCCAACGAGGGTTTCGTGCTGGCCCGAATCCACGAGCTGATGGGAGAAGAGGCGGACGTTTTCCCAATAGACAATAAGTACCCACGTCGCATATGCAATTTCGAGGACATTTTCCCCGCCGGCGACCCGGCTAAAGATGTCGACGATAATTGTAAGTACACCGCTAATGTTTCAGGGCGTTATTCTCCTCATATTAAGTAGTGCTTTGATATTTTTGAGGACACCTGAGTGTCACTTATTGCCCCCTTTTAATTGCTACAAAAAGCAAACATAGTATAAATATTCTAGATGGGTCTATATCTAATAACATTGACGTAGTTGTGACCTTTGGATGACGTTTTTAAAATCACCTATCATACTTCTTGTTACTAGAATTATCACCATATAAATTAACAGGGTGTTAGAATTTAAGTGATGAACTGGGTCGACTTTAAGGTCATCGATCGGTTCACAGAACATCAATTACCTATAACATATTTTTGTATTTTTATGGGCTCACTCTTGATCTCAGTCTAGCCCAAGAACATAAATTAGACCTGCGGTGGCACGAGCTTGCTCAGAAGGAACCTATTCACTCTGGCTTTGAATAGATTTGGGGTATATGCACTCGGAAATATAGATGCCAGATGAAGTGACGGTAGTGCACAGTAGAAACGATGGCGAATAGTACTTTATGCGGCATCTTGGAATATTTACCAAATATTGGTATACTGCCGTGCGTTTAGATTGCAATAGGAGCGAACTCCTGTATAAAATCCTATAAAACACAGTCGGGCAACATTACACCGATAGATCAGGAGTGTACTAGCTTTTCATCGCCAAGCAGTGTCTTGGCTCTGCATTCCACTAAGTCTTGTGCGGCAGCTGATATTTGTCAGAGCCACCCCATGTACTCCATACATGACTTAAGTTTCGCTTTGTACAGAGTCGTACCCTTGTTTAAGATGCCCAGCTTTTTGGCCGTATACTTATACAGGGTGTCCCAGAATTTGACGTCCCACACACAGTAACCGAAAAATGGTTACAGTTTGACCAAATTTCTAGGTTTTTCTCAAATGCCCATCATTTCAAACTGTATGGGATAGATATTTATTCTGATTTGTCTCATGATGTTTACAACCAATCCTGTCACTCCGTTTCGGCTTGAAATTGAGTTCTAAGACATATGCGCGAAGTCTTGTAGAAACTACTCTCTGAGTGTTGATCGATAAATTACTACTAATTTTGTACAGTGTCCTCCAATTACTATACAGTGCACCGGAAACCATCAACAGTATAATAATACGCATTCCATTTTTGAGTTCGCCCACGTAACGCTTAAGAGCAATTTTGTAAATCCAAATTCAAGTTGCATTGTGCGTGTAGATAAGTTATTAAATCGTATCGTTGCTTTTTACAGGCGAACTCATGTTTCTGAACGAGGCCACGCTACTGAACAATATCCTAACACGCTACAAGAAGAACAAGATTTACGTAAGTATTGATAGCGTGATAAATACGACACGCTATAAACATAAGCGGCCGTATTACCTTGGATGCAATACTCTAGTGCCCCGCGTGTACGAATGTATTACGTATGACGTTTGTCATTTCTATTTCAAAATTATTTTTTATTACTTCATGAACTAGACTTTATATATTATCAGTTGGTATTCCTTTTAATCTCGCAAAGTTCAGAATAGTTTTTACAGGAAGCCAATGGACACGTCTAAACAGAGCAATAAGTAAAAAAGAGCGTGATAGTAAGCCTAAGTTATTATACACTTATTTGGAACAATCGATCAATTTTTACAAGTGTGTATGTTATGTGCAATTCATGTTATTATTCTAACAATAATAGTCCATATTATATTGCTATAAGATACTTATATTTATATTATCATATTCCTGATTCCCTACTTATTAGTACTACTTATAAGCAAATATAAAATGTAATAAATAAAAAAGTGTTAGCCCTATGTGTCATTACGCAGTTTATGACTTATGAGTAGCTCCAATGAGCATTCTAAACAAAACCAGCATTAAGAGGAAATTCAAAGTTATTTCTTTGTGATACAACTAAAGAACTGATGTACCTACCTGTAGGTAATTACCATTTCCTTTTTATATACCATAGACAATCCCCACAGCTCAAGATTTTTTGAAAAGATTTTAATAATTTGAAGACATGCAAAAGGCCAGAATTCTTTAATAATTTTAACAAGTAGAGAAACACCTCTCATATATTAGATATAAAATCGAGGTATGAGCAGTAAATTTTGACCGCTTATCAATATCATTAAATCAAAAAGAAATTCTCTAGTACTTTGTGATATTTGTGAGATTTCATTTGTTGTTTAAATTCGCTGAGCGATACTACAAAATGAAGGCACTTTTATGTTTTAAAATAAAACTACCTACACAAAAATTACACTGAAAATCTAACTGGGGTGAAAGGGACAGCTATAAACTCCCAATAGCAAAGAGATCGTGACTTCCCTGCTCAACTGATGGTTTGCCTTGGCCCGTTTCGGTCAACAGAGCGCATTTCCGTATCAATGATCATAATAGTAAACATGCTATATCATTAATATTACCGTCATGCGTTATTATATTTCTTAAGTACCTATTTGCGTATCAAATCTTTAACTAGAGAATTGCTTTATATCACCATATCACCTGTACTAAACAGTAAAATTAATAATATTTTTGCGGATGTCTTTACATAAATGGTCATCTGCTTTTAATTTTACTTTTCAGACATATGTTGCTAATATACTGCTAGCGGTGAACCCATACGAGGATATACCTCACTTATACGATTCGAACACAATCAAGAAATACCAGGGCAGGTCCTTAGGAGAATTACCACCACATGTGTTTGCTATCGGTAAGGAGATACATATAAATTGAACATCATTAGAGTATATCCGTGTTGGAGCACAGGTCTTCCCTCGGCGTCAGCAGTAATGTTGTGACGTTAATTAATAGAAAAAATGTTATTTAGACTTCAATTCATTCCGCATATTCTAAAATGGAGTTAGGTGTATGACATGATATTAATTATACTATTAATAAAGTTTTTCTTTGCAGCTGATAAAGCGTTCCGGGACATGAAGTCGCTCAAACAATCACAATCTATAATAGTATCTGGAGAATCGGGAGCCGGAAAGACTGAATCCACCAAGTACATCCTTAAGTATTTGTGTGATCTCTGGGCTAAGAGCGCTGGACCCGTAGAACAGAAAATTCTGGATGGTAAGTGTCATTTTGTGAAAGATGGCTTTCAGGTTTTTTATTATATAGATTTTTTAAATCGTAATCTATGTACGAAATCATACTCAGAAAATATCTTTGCTTGTCAGTCTTCGACAACTTATATTAGTCGATTTTGGACACGTTTTCGGCCATTTTAGGATCATGACCTAGTTTTGCCCACTAAAAAAATAACGAAGAAGTGAATTTTGACACATCGCAGTCAACAATCGACATTTTAAAACCTTGGCAAAGTAATATATTTGTCTTCCACATGGCCAAGGCCGGATCTTCTGTCCTGTATTGTGATTAGAAAAAACTAAACACTGGTATTATATCACTATTAAGCGAAGAGTGATTATAAAGATTAATGCCCCATTTCATTCTTGATACCTATTATACATTGAATCTCAAATCGAACATTATAATATTAGGGCGATACTATCTGTTTAACTTAAGAGAAACAAGAGTCTGCCTCTTCCAACTTACATATATATAATTTATGTTTCTTCAGCCAATCCGATCCTTGAAGCTTTCGGCAATGCGAAGACGACTCGCAATAACAACAGTTCTCGGTTCGGCAAGTTCATGGAGGTGCACTTCAGCAATAAATGGCAAGTAGTGGGCGGTTACATCTCCCACTATCTACTGGAGAAGTCCCGCATCTGTACGCAGAGTGCAGATGAGAGGAATTACCACGTGTTCTATTTGCTATGCGCCGGCGCACCCCAGGAGCTCAGACAAGCTTTACACATAACCAAACCTGATGATTACAAGGTAAGTCAATTACCGTCACTTCATGTTTTCTCTCCTAAAATTTTTTTTTTTTTGACTGTCTGTCAACTTTCGTACAGTCTATTTATTTTATCTCCATTGGTATTTTATTTTTAACCAGTATGTTAAAAAAAATATTGAGGAATTCTGACGAAGTGATCCCATCAGCATGACAGAATAGCTAGCTGGTCATTAACTGAGTAACAATCCGTCATTCTTGCAAGTGAAGCTATTAATTGTTATTATTATACGATTGTTACTTTAATTTTATTAATATAAATTTTATAGTAACAGATATAATTAATTGCTATCGAAGCCAATATGTTCTTAAAGGTTAAAATGTCACGATGATTAAACAAATTAATTAACTGTGATAATATTCTAATTATTATATTATACATGACTTGGAAATTAATGATTTAATTTTCGCCTTACCTGATCTTAAATACATAAATTCAACAATTAGCAAATGAGGTATCGAAATATAATTCCGCCACATATTACAGTTTTAACACCTATATATTTATTGTGAATCGATTTCTTTGTGTACTTGCAGTACTTGAAGAATGGCTGTACTCAATACTTCACCACCGCTGCGTCTGAGAAGAAGATCAGCGCGAATCAGAAGAGCAAACAACAGCAGGCAAAAGGTGGACTGCGGGACCCCATACTCGATGATGTCGAAGACTTCCAAAGACTGAACCAGGTATAGCTATTTACTATTAAAAATAGTCCATACATGCTCAGTTTAAAATAACATTACATTGATCATCGCTGAACATTTCTTTAGTATATTATGAAAAGTAAGTGTGTCTACAGTGGACAGTTATATCTGCAAACTGTCACATTTTTGTTAATTTTACTTATAAAATTGTTTGCGTATATGCGGAAAGAAGCAAGCTCCCCAAAAACAATAAAAATAAAACAAGAAAAATATTAATTGTCTGTCTGTTTTGCTTCAAAACTACTGAACCGATAGTCGTCGATCTACGTGAATCAAACGTTAGATAGAAGCACGCTCGATTTGTGCACGTACATGTTTATTGATACAACTACAGGCGATACTCGTACGAATTAACATGGCACCTATTTTAATTGTAAAATTCGTATGACAAAATTATATCCACGAAGATTGTCTTTTGAATTATCGAAAAATGCGTTTCTTTGGAGTCGTATTAGCTTTTCGAAAATCGACTGAATTTCGTTTTCGGAGAATAGAATAGGCCTTATATAGGCGTCACATTAATTTAATACAGAATTATTTATTTAACATTGACATTAAACAAAAAATGGTAACATTATGAAATGGAAAAATTTATTATGTGAATGATTTTTTCGCGCAGGCGTTATCCCGCGTAGGCCTAACAGATGACGAAAAGAAAGCAGTGTACAGCGTAGTTGCAGCAGTTCTTCATCTAGGAAATGTAGAGTTCGAAGAAGATTCAGGTCCTCGAGGGGGATGCGGGGTAGCGGGGGGATCGCATCAATCTCTAGTGCATGCCGCTACATTGCTGGGCGTCCATCCTGACGAGCTGAGGATGGCTCTCGTGTCCAGACTGATGCAAAGCTCCCGTGGTGGCATCAAGGGAACTGCTATCATGTGAGACATGTGTTTATTTATATATAGACTTTTTTACATAGCATTTGTACGGTGACGTTTGGAAATTGAAGTTTGAAAAAAAATGCATATACAAAAACTCGAAATCTATTATTTCCAATAGAGATAATCGATTTTGAGGTCAATGTATAGAACAGGATATAAGAATAATATTTATTCATCAATAAGATGAACCCCTACCAAAAAAAAAATACAAATTTTATTATAGTTATGTTAAACTGTTACAATAACAATAATTAGAAAATTGTTAAATGATTGCCAAATCAAATTTCGATTAAAACAATTATATAAATTCAATTCCTATTAAAAACATTCAAATTTTCATTATAATTGTTGACATTTTCAACTTTAGAGGGTTAGATTTCAGTCATTAAAGCTTCGATCAACAGAAGAATTAAGGATATTAAAAAAATATTTGTGTTTTAATATACATATTTAAATAAATATCTAACATATAAGCAGTCAAACTATTTTTTATAACGATAGTTTTTAATTAATACAAATTGTTAACATACAAGTTGACTATTTGTATTATATAACTGACTTGTACTATTGACTATACAAGTTGATCCCGCGCACTTCATACCGCCTAAGATATGTATAGGTAGAGATATGTGGTACCTATTAAGTAGAGTTTTGCCTCTTGTTTACTTTTATTATATTTAGAGCAATTATCGCTAGTTTTATTAATGTGCGCACAATTACAAATGACTTGGGCTATCATCAACATCTTATTAATGTTATCATAGCTGAGGCACAGGTCTTTCTTATGGATGGAATCGGATTCAAAATAAAGAATGGATCATCACCCCCCACGTGGGCCCCGTTACAACGTAATGGTACAATCACAATAAAATTGATTTAAGGTTAAGCGAATATTTGTGGAAGACAGTACAACAATTAATCTAGGATCGTTTTATACAAAGATCTTAATAATAATGAAATGAAAAGAGGTCGGTAGCGCAATAGTTAGCTAAAACAAGCTTTGTAAAGGTCATGGGAGGGGTGACCAAAAAATTATTATCTCCTCTGGAAGGTACGTTAATCCTTTGATCCCAGCGTCTATAGTGGCTTACCATCCACCAGTCCTCATTGGGCCCGCGTAGTGATAGGTAAGACCTGTGCTCCAGCTCATTGTGATGATAATAATGATAACAATAATAAATTTAATACACAGGGTACCGCTGAAGACTCACGAAGCCAGCAGTGCTCGGGACGCCCTGGCTAAGGCAGTGTACAGTAGATTATTCGACTACATCGTACACCGCATCAACTCCAGCATTCCTTTCCAGGCCTCCGCTTATTACATCGGAGTTTTGGATATCGCTGGCTTCGGTAATTTCATTTTTGTACCGCCTTTAGCACCAAATTATCGACTGCGAATAATATCATTCATTTAGAGTTATGTCAAGATTTTGTTATTATATAACTGCCGATATTTGGAAAAAGTTAAATTAGCATAGTAAACCTATCAATCTACTTAAAATAAAAAATGCACAAGTTAGAATAGAATAGAATAGAAGAAGCATCAATTACTATATTTTAAAAAAATATAGACTGATAATTATTTTTATTATTTTCTAAAATTGGCTACTTGTTTTACTATAACACGGTAACATTATAACTATAACAATAAAATTTATGATGTATTTTAGAAATGGTAACTTATATGTATTTTTTGTTGTAAAAGAAATTGTTCGTATATTTTTTTTTTTTTAGTAAATTAACTTATGATTTATAATGTGTTAATTATAAGAACTGAAACGTGGGCAGCCATGCCGGAGCGTGTGGAGTCACATTCTAATAAATAGTATTTGTTTATTATTAAAGGAAATTTCCAAGTAATAACTATTTGTCCTTGTGTTAATGTCACAAATGATGCAAGGATTTCTAAATATAATTGATAAAAAAAAATCAACCAGTAGTCTTGTTTGTTGAATTTTGATGTCATGGCTCAAAATGTCACATGACCGATTTATGACAAAACATATCAAACTAATAAGAATTATTTCTCTTATTTCATAAAACTTTATTGTTATATATAAGTTTTGAAACTCTTTTCTCAAATTAGTAAAATATCCAATTTATTCCATTAGTTAAAATCGAATCTTTATTAATAACCAGAATCTAAACAATATGAACTATTTCACAGAATATTTCCAAATGAACAGCTTCGAACAGTTCTGCATAAATTACTGCAACGAGAAGTTGCAGCAGTTCTTCAATGAGCGTATACTGAAGAACGAACAGGATTTGTATCGACGAGAGGGCCTTAACGTACCCGAAATCAGATTCGTCGACAATCAAGACTGTATCGGTGAGATAATATATGTAGTATTCATTCAATTGATATATTTAAAATTAGTCTGCCAATTCCAATAGTCTTCGAGAATGACAACCCGTAAGTAGGGTTCGAACGATACTTTCGATACCGAGTAGGTATCGATACTTTCAAAAGCGAAACTCGATACTAAGTACTCGATACTACAAAAAGGTAAATACTCGCAAGTACTCATCAAAATTGCTGGTATCGAGTATTCTTGCTAAAGAATATATACTATAGGCGTTTGCATTTGACGTTTCAACTTAAATCTTATACTTTTACTCTTTGGTTTTTATTTTTATACTTTTACCCTTTTGGCTGCCATAAAAATAATGTATGACTGAATTGTATAAATGTATGTAAGTATAGGATCGGTTCTCTTCTTCCATTTACTTTGAAATGGAAAGGCAAAGACAATTGATTTTTTTAATAAACTATATTTTCGCTATAGACATTTTTTTTTAATATTCTTACGTTGCCCAAAAACAAATATTTTGTAACAATTTTTCATACACATTTTACAAATTTTTGTTTGTCTGTCCGTCTGGTAGATTGCTTTTTTTAAGGATTAGCCTTCTTTAATGATGTCGATAAATACTCAATACTGAGTAGTATCGATACTTTGGGAGTGATACTTTTATGGTATCGATACCATGACCCTCGATACCATATGAGTACTCGGTATCGATACCAGAAGCCGATACTTCGAACTCTACCCGTAAGTATATTGGCGCGAAATTTATCAAACGTCAAAACCAAAGTGACAATGACAGCTAACTGACAGCTAGGGATGCCCGTAGAGCAATCTGTAAATAGTAATGCCCGTAGTAGTCGATCATTTTCCATATACTCGTAGGTACCGTACTGATATCGTAAATATTTTAGGTTTATTTTACTCTGGCAGCATTGGGTAGATGCGTCTTTGCTAGCGCAAAAGCAATATGCACGTGAGTTAAAGAGATATGTTATGCCGGGTCTTTGTAAGAAATTCTCGTTGTTCGGCGATCTCGATTACAACAGATAAATTACGACTCAAGTTGAAGAAAGCTTTGGGCGATAAGAATAACTTCATTAAAGAAAATAAAACCTGGAATTTAACCATGTCATGCCAATTTAACTATAGATTATATTGGTTATTAAGTTATTAAATATAATACTTCATCATTCCGATACAATGTTTTCCATAGATTTAATCGAGAGCAAGAACCATGGTATATTCCATCTCCTGGACGAGGAATCCAAACTGCCCAAACCAGAATTCGGACACTTCACACATTCTGTACACAAACAGCTGGGCAATAACAACTCCAGGTATGATATTATACGATAATTTATAAATGTAATAAGTACAATAATAATAGATTTATTCTATCATCATCATCAGCCTTCTTACGAGCCACAGCAGGGGCTCAGGCCTTCCTTATTGAATGGTTAAGGAGGATGGGCTATGACCCTCCACGCGGGCCCATTGGATTGGAACGCGGATTGGAGGGTATTAACAACTGCATATGCAGCCGGGACCAACAACTTAACGTGGCTTCCGAAGGATGGAGCAGCTCGAGATAATATTTTTTGGTCACCCATCCCGTGACTGATCCTGCTAAAGTTGCTTAACAACAACGATCACTGGCTTTTCCGCTACACCACCGAGCTAACGAGCCGAGATTAGCTATAAATAATAATAGATATAGTATTTAATATCTCAATCAGTCTTGAAATATTTTTTCCTTGCCTTTTTTCTTTAATACCAACTGCATATAGTCAAATAAAAACGTTAAATATTCAAATAAACTTAAAAAAAACTTGGTTCATAAAATATTTTTTACATATTTTATTGTTATTTTATAGTGGTACAATAATAAAAACAGTCTCCTATTATTCATATTATTTTTATGACAGACTGCAATTACCACGCGCGTCACGTCTGAAGGCGCATCGAACACTTCGTGACGATGAAGGATTTCTACTGCGGCATTTTGCAGGAGCCGTCTGCTATAACACGGTAACACTATGTTGACTTTTTTAACCAATAAGATAATGTTTTCTTGAAAGCAACAAAAAATATTTAAAACTACCTATAATAATGTTGATTGAATCCTAAAATTAAAGACTCGTGAAAATTATATCTTTAACTGATATACTATACCAAAATTATTTATTTCATTTCTTATAATTACAAAATGAAATACAATTTGTTGGATTTAATATTTAACTTTTCGTAATACGTACTTTATCCTAAAAATAGTAAATAGCGCCATCTACATTCAAAACATGTTTTCAATTTTGTGTTAACCATCATTGTCCATTTGTTTCAGAATCAATTTATAGAGAAAAACAATGATGCCCTTCATGCGTCTCTAGAGTTCTTGGTGCAGGAGTCCAGCAATCCACTTGTTCAGCAACTGTTTCAAAGCATTGATAACAATAATGCCAAAGGGAAATTAAACTTTATATCTGTAGGCTCGAAGTTCCAGACTCAGTTGACTCAACTTATGGACAAACTAAAGGAAAATGTGAGTGGAAATGATAAATTGAGTTTCTAAAATGCACATACACAAATCAGTTTACATTAATAGCGTTAGACGGGACATAGTTGCTAGATTTCATTAATAATCTTTAAGTTGCCTTAGCAATTGAATCATGTATGTTTAATAATTATTAATTTATATAGGTCTTATAAATGATGATCATAACTGAGAAATGATATTGTCATAGTATGGATAAGATTCATGTTCAGATATTTAAAAAGACTGTAATATATTTTAAGGAGAAATATTTTCAAAAGTACTAAACAGACTCTTATCAACTATGATATTACTTATTGAAGTTCTAGAATTTTTTTAAAACCTTTATACTCATAATCATGTCCATATTAGAATATACATTTGATATCGACGCGAAACCCGAATCCTGTTAATATTATAAATGTGAAAGTTTCTTTATTTGGATGTTTTTCCGTCAATCACGCCGAAAATGCGGAACTGATTTTGATGAAAAAAAATTTAAAATGACAATCTTTTGAAGTTTATTTCGGCTATAAAATATTTCTTAGTATTATAAGATAAATCAAATTTATATTATAAAAAGGAAAGATTTGATTGTTTATTTGTTTGCAAATAATAGGCTCCGAAACTACTGGACCGATTGAAAAAATCTTTAACCTACGGAAAGTTACATCATGTGCGGTAAACATAGGCTATATTTTATCCCGATAATCAGCTAACTGAAAGTTTGTATAGAGAATTAAAACGTTACCAAAGTCAGCATTATTTACAATGAATTTGTTTACATACGGGTCATGATATGAATCGATATCATAAATAAATAGCTCCATAGGGATCACGAGGGCGAAGCCGCTGGCGGAATGCTAATAACATATAATTTATTTTTATAATTATGAAAAGACATATAACCAGGTTGAGGTATTGAACAGGGTACCAATTTCGTACGATGCGTGAAGCCTAACTCCCGAATGGTGGGACGTACTGTTGATGCATCCTTAGTGCTGACGCAGCTTCAATGTAGCGGTACTGCGGCTGTACTTTCACTCATGGAACACGGGTATGTCCATATAAATATATACTAAATGCATCCATTCCATGTTCAGTTCTAACATGTCTCCACCACTGAGGCTGGAATTGAATCGAATCAAATAATGAGAATTGGCCAAGACCTACCACGCGGACCCAGTGCGGATTGGTGGATGTTAACAACTGCAGATGTAGCCGGGATCAACGGCTTGATGTGCCCACCGAAGGACGGAGTAGCTCGCAATAATAATTTTTTGGTCACTCAACCCGTTATCCGCCACCACGATACTATCGACGGCAACGACATGTCATTTGTATTTGATAAGGTCCAAAAAATCCATGTATAGCTCGCTAGTTCGCGAAATATCGAACGGTTCTTATAATTTAGTTAAAATCATATCCATGAAGATTATCAGTGCATCAGAGATAGTGTCATATCCTACCTCTGTTGCATCTTTATTATTTAAAAATGGATCTCTTTAGTTGTATTAGCATTTATGATATTGAATCTATGTAATTTTTTGTAACAACAACATTCCTATACATTTCCGTTCACATCCGGTCTGACAAGTAGCATGGCGTTTAAATATTTTGAGGTTACCGCATTTTTTGCACTTTTTAATAATAATTTTCAAGACGAAAACAATCTATTGTTGAAAAATATTTTCATAGACCTTATTCTTAAGCAATAATGATCATAATAAAATATATTTTGAATCAGATGCATATTCCCCTATTTGCTTTAGGTGGCCAATGGTTTTAATTATGTACTAACTTATGTCCTAGTTTCGTAGTACAATAGAAATATTGAAGTTAAGTTCGTGTCATATGTAGGTATCCGTCTCGAGCTCCGTTCCACGAGTTACATGCAATGTACAGCGCATATCTTCCCGCCAAGCTGCAGCAACTTAGTCCCAAGCTTTTCTGTGAGGTTAGTTTTATTATTTGATTGTGTTTTTTATAGGTGTATACAAAATTTGTTTGAACAAACTCCGATGCTGATATGAAGAAAGCAGAACATGTATTCATACCCGTATGTAGTGATAAAATAAACCTTCTTGAAAATAGTCTTAATGAGAAATGCATACTAAATCCACTTCGTCCCTGGTACTCTAAGAAGGGATTCGCACCCACGACTTTTCGAAATCCGGGCGACTGCTCTAACCACTAAGCTGATCCAGGACCTAACTGGACTGACAAATTTTTCAAGTACTTATTACTTTTTCGCTACTACAGCGTTATGAATGCAAAATTGATCAAACATAATATTATACTGAAATGACTTTTATACTTGAACTTCGGTGTTATTCGGTCAAATAAGAGTATATTAAAATTTGCAATTAATGCTTCTTTAAATAAAATACTCAGTCCGTCTCTAATTGATTTTTTTTTATGTGTATCAGGCTATGATCCACAGTCTGGGGTTATCAGACAAGGAGTTCAAGTTCGGTTTGACTCGCGTATTCTTCCGTCCGGGCAAGTACAGCGAGTTTGACACCATCATGAGATCAGACCCTGACAATATGCAGACCATAGTTCGCAATGTGCTCGGTTGGCTAGTGAAATCTCGCTGGAGGCGTTCCATATTCGCAGTATTATCCTTGATCAAACGTGAGTCAATCTCGTCTTATTTGTGCTTGTTATTTGCTATACTTCCTTTGATGAACTCAAAAACGAAACATTTTCTTTGCGACAAACGGAAAGTTTTGATATGGATAAAAATTAAGCCGCATAATTGCATATGACATGCATTAATTATACATTGAGATATAGATACAAATAAATGTTTTTAACAGATTTACCTTTCTTTAATATGATTCATACGTGTCTAAATATTCTTGTGGAAATCGGATAATTGACACATCAAAAATAAAAAATAGGAAAATAAATTATTTTTCTACACTAACCTGAGCGAAAATCGAGCGCAATGTTATTAAAACAATGGCATTAAATTCAATTCATAGGGCAGCCGCAAAACCGACACTCGCATTATGTGAGCGTACACCTATACGCACGAAACGAACGTGCGTACGAACATTAAGAAAGTTTACGTTTCGTTATTCGCATATAATCGCACGCCGCATATCAATAGGCATAACTCTGAGGAAATGCAACAGAATTCTATAAACACGTATCATTTGCTTTCAACTTTGTGTTATTGTCCGTTTTTTTCACCTGTCCTAGGAATTGAATCTATCACAAAATAATAATACTTCATATATGGTTTCAGTGAAGAACAAGATAATTTACCGTCGTGAATGCCTCATAAAAGTTCAAAAGACAGTACGTGGATACTTAGTACGGAAGAGACACCAGCCCCGTTACCGCGGCATAGCAAAAATAAACGCGTTACACAAGAATCTTAAACAGATGGACGCAGTCGTTGCACAACTGAAGAAAGAGAAGAATAACGCCCAGAAAGACATTGAAAACTTAAGGAATAGCATCAAGAATGCATGTGCTACTATCAAGGTAAACTAAGATTTTAAAATATCTCTATATTGTTAAGCGTTTTGGAAAATAATTATGAAACTAGTAATTACGAAGATTACTTTTCTTTTTATTCTTGCAATATTGTGGTTTTGAAAACATCTTAATCTTGAAATATCGTAAAATTATCAACTTACTGTATTTCACATTCGTCTAATCCAGATCAAATCAATATCGTCGATTGATGAATGATGTCGGTGGCTTTTATGAAGTGTATTTTTCATAAATATTTTTTGCGTCTTATTATTAAAATTAATTAAACTCAGTGATATGGGCAGGGGTCAGAAGTATGCTATCATATGGTTAAATTAAAAAAAAAGAATAAGATGTTGATAAATACATTGTAGTGTATTCTATTTTAGTAACTTATTTTTCTTTCTAGGTTAGCTTTAAAGTTGGACATAAAATGTAACATTAGTGCAATTAATTTGTACTTAAATTTCTTTACAATTAAATTTATAGTAGACTAAATTTCATACGAAGAAATAATGATACTGATAATCTTGATTTGATTACAGGGCAATGAAAAAATTTCGCGAGGCGACATAGACAATTTGCTCAGTAAGCTGACGAAGGATATCGAATTACAAATGGGTGCACTACAGAAGGCAATGGTTGACCAAAAGAACCGGTCAGTGAAAAACTTTATTACATAATAATTAGCTCAATCTTTAGACTGTCCTTTATATTATTCTAATAGGAGTCACTTGTTAATAGAAATGTAACAATACCTTTCTGGTATCGATACATTTATTCCACAACATAACGGTCATGAGATATCAATACTTACTTTAATCAGAGAGTTTTAAAATGACTTATCATCTATTCTTTATCAATTATTTTTTTTCGATTTTTTAACAGTATGAAATTAGTAGGGTGTACTCGTATCGTTTTATCCCTAGTTGTCACTTAACATCCAATGGCAAATATCTATTTAATTGTCCTAATGTTCAGTGTATATACACGCGTTTACGCATCATGACATCGTATTCTAAAAAAATGGTTTGTTGCGACGTTTCGACTTGAAAACACGACAAGTAAACATAAGTTTACACTAATATTTATGATACTTTGATAGACTAGTGACTTTTTTCGTATGGATTTAATAGGGATGATGACTAATTTTTGTTTGTTTGTCCGTCAGGTAGTGTTATTTTTTTCGTAATCATAAAATTACGGCGTTACATTGAGTTGAAATTTCCCATGACGTCACGTTAGAGTACGTTATCTACTCAACTGTGACGTAGCGAGCCCCCACTCCTCAACTTTAATGCCTGTTATCTATACTATTTCTTGTTAAATTGAATTAAAAAAAATACGTCTCTAATATTTTTCTATTATCTGACTGACGGACTAAATAGAATTGCATTTTTTTTTACCCAGTCATCATCCCTATTGGAGAAGCTTTAATTTACTTTTTAAACTCAATATGGGTTGACTCTCTCAATAAACTGAAAAAATCGATATACTTAATAAAGTTTAGGTTAACTATCCGAAATAAATCCCCCGTATAAAAGTTCTAAACATATGCGTACCTAACACATTGCAATTGCTACCACACAGATGTATTTAGTCATTTTCGTTATAATAAAGTGAAACTTAAATGTTTACGATATCAATTGTTTAATGAACCAAAACGTTAATATGGTGATGGTTCTATACTGTCCTATCGAGTTTCTTCATGTATAAAAAAAAAATAAAATTAATTTTTAGGGAGGAACAAGAGAGATTGCAGAAACTACAGGAGGAGATGCGAGCCGCGGAAGAAGCCAAACGCAAAGAGCTGGAGAGAATCAAACAGGAAGAGGAACATAGAAGAATGTGAGTATGGTTTGAAACAGCTTACAAATTTCATTTTTTTTTTTAATCGAATGTTCTATTTTCTTTGTCATTGATGTTTCGAAATTACGAGTAAGTTATTTCTTATTGATTACATACGTTTAAACATAGATTGAAATGACTAACGATTTTTATTTTATTTATTTACAATGGGCTCACTCTTGACCTCAATCTAGCCTAAGGACATAGATGAGATCTACGGTGGGACGAGCTTGCCCCCCCCCGCTTTTTTTTTATTGACGCTGAGAAATGCATTCCTCATACCCGCTTCACTCTGCGCGAGCTCCACGGGTTATGTAGGACTCTCCCCTGCGGACCAACCCCAGAATGGGGCTAGTCAAAGAACAGGGGCCTACCCACTAAAACTCAGCGATGTCCCTCACTGCGGGGGATCAGCGCGTGGTAACGGTCCCCATCGGGACCATTTCCCGCGCATGCCGTCCCCGCTCGACTCACCCCTTAACAGGGCGGGTCCCATCTCGGGTTAGGGAAGGGCTCAGGAACATTCGAGTCCAACCCCAGGCAGGACAAGGAGCGTGCAATGCCTGGCGAGCGCGCTAACCCGCCAGACTTGCCCCCTGTCAAAGGCAAGAGATGCGCAATTGAGCATCTCCCACCCTAGCCCGTCTAAGAGAGGGAATTCACACGGGCTGAACCCTCGTGAATCCCTCACCCCGATAGCCCCGGATACCAATGTCCAGCCCAGCGTGCACCGAACCAGTCACCGGTATTCCGTTCCTTAGTCGCGCTCTGATAGTGGCCCCGCCCAGGGACGAGCTTGCCCTGGAGGAACCTATTCATTAATTGTTTGCAAGATGCTTACTTTGATGTCACTGTCTAAGATAATTGTCTATTGCAAACGCTTATTTGACCTTAAAAATACGTATTGATGCGATAAAAAATCATGTGTAATATCTTTTGCAACAGGAAAGCAGAGATAGAGGCTCGTCGTAAAGCGGAGGAAGCGGAACGTCTGCGGATAGAGGAACAGAACAGACAGCAAGCGGAACAGCTACAACTGCAGATGGAACGAGCAGCGAAAGACGATCGGGATAATCGGGAGAGGTACTTATTATATTTCTGTTAACCGCAAATGAATATTATAAAATGCCTTTTGGCGAGCCCTGAATTGGCCTGTCTGCTAGTATTTATTATATAGGTCATCATCATCATCATCAGCGCTCTATTTCGTCTCCACTGCAGGGTCAGGCCTTCCTTATGGATGTTATATATATCCTTATGACTCAATAATCGTTTCACAAAATCGATTATCAAACGAAACAAGTCAACACCATAAAGTAGTAGATAAAATACGTTAAAACTTTGAAGAGAAAACATACCTACAATGATAGTAGAAATAAGTATCATAGCGAAAGAATGACATCATCCTCCTTACTAATTTAAATAGTTTTGATACCGTTTCTTTAGTTCATTCGTTGAGAAATGGGGTTGTAAAAATAATTTTATTTTATCTATAAATCCAAATATGTTAAATGTCTGAATCAATATATAAGAATAGACTCAAATAATACTAGTGGTAAATTCAAAAAAAGATAAAAAGGACACAGATCAATTATATAAATGTAAAAAACTCAGACAGAGGAAGAATGACCCTCCACGCTGGCCCAATGCGGATTGGAGGGTATTAACGACTGCAAATGCAGCCGGGACCAACGGCTTAACCTGCCTTCCGAAACACGGAGTAGCTAGAGATAATAATTTTTTGGTCACCCATCCCGTGACCGACCCTTTGGAAAGTTACTTAACGACAACGATCGCGGGCCGCGGCGCTTATCCACTACGCCACCGAGCCGTAGGATCAATTTTCAAGACCAGTCCCGGCTACATTTGCAGTTGTTAACACACACCAATCTGCACTTAACCCACGTGGTGATCATGGTCCATTTTTCTTACGGAAATATCTATTTCGTGGACAGATTAGAGCAAGAGCGTAGAGATCACGAGATGGCTGTAAGACTCGCACAGGAAACAGACGGACACGTGGAGGGATCTCCGCCACAACTACGCAGGTACAAGCACATATATATACCTCATGTACAAAAACACACGGTCCATTTACACTTGTACTACCATTGCATTAAATGCAACAAAATTGTTAAACAAAGATTCTCACACATTTTGTCTTTTTTGTTCAATACAGAACTACAAAAACATAATTAGTATAGTCGAGAGAAGTAATTACTTGAGAAAATGTAGTCATTAGGCAAATATTTTGGCCAAATTCACATGAATTTTTAATGAAGTAAGAACTATTATTAGTTATAACACTAATATTATTAACTATTAACAGTACCTATTTCATTAAAATGTCTTTTATTGGTTAAAAATATTTGCCTAAGTTATGACATTTTCTCAAGTCATTACTTAACAGTATCCACTACGGAAGTTAGACTGGAAAAGTACGATTATGATATGTTTATAAGTTCCAATGGGTCGATAGACCTGAGTACTAAAATAATATCATGTATTAGTTGCGTTTTAGCATTATCATATAAAGAAGCTTTTAAAAAAGAGTAGGGTTTGGCGAACACCACCTTATATCAGTTTTTGTTCATTTTAATTGACATATTATTGTTATATAATAATAACATTTTTAAATAATCCTTAAGATAAAAAGGAATGGTAATTTGTATTTATCAAATTTTCTGATAGTCATCAGTACTATTAATTCTAACATCACAATCTCAGTATTTTCCACGAACATAAACTTTTTTAAAACTGAACACTTTAAAAACCTTTCGGATATTTCGGTGTCTGATCTCAATTTTATTATATTGCCCGTTCGAGTGTATTCAATGAAGTATGTTTTTATTCACTGTAAAATTGAATCTTCGCACTTCGGTTTTGCGAATCTTCTTCTTGTATATAAGCTTACGTCACCAAACCAAATATAAAAGAAACAAATGTACCCCATTAACCTTTTAAATAAAATGAAATGAAAACATATGTGAATGATCAATAATAATATTTACTTTAGAAAAGTACAAATGTTTCCTTTCATTTTATTTAACAGTCACGGTCAAGTTTGATCGATTGAAATTATTTAGTAAATAAAAGAAATATTTTCAATATAACTATCTATTTGTGGGTACAATCTTGTTGCGAATATCATAGTAAATCATGTCTAATTCTTTGGTATTAGAATTGATTTTTCAAAATACGACATCTACTCTATTATTGGTTTAATCGACCGATTTAAGAAGATACACTTTAGAAAAAATAGCTTTAAAACATGTATCGGTGAGATTTGAATAAGGCCATTTGATCAGTATTTGCAGCAAGATTTTATAAGTCGACTATACCGCCTCAGCCAGCGAGTAATATTGTTGGTATGTTTGCACAGTTTCCCCACAATGGACACAGTGAACGGAGAGAATAAATTGAACAGGTACTCAGTGAGATACGACTAACGTCTTCTCTTTCGCACGCTGCCTTCTCCCTCCGTCCTCCGCCAATGATAATATTTAGTGTCATTAAAACTTAATGTAGCTCAAATTGGCTTAATATTACGTTTGATAATAATATGTGTAAGAATATTACGTATGATACTTCAAAATTGTAATAAAAATAGGTCATTGTCGGAGGACATTTATATATAAATATAAATTACTGACACTTATTAAATGTACTAACTTCGCTAACTTTCAAACTGACGCTTGTACGCATTTCTTGCACGGGTACTGGTGGGTCTTTATTTATAACTAAAACAGGTAGATATGTTTGTGTATTAAATAAATAGAACTTATTATGTTATGAAAGATTGGTTTCTTAAGTTAATTTATCATATTAAATTATTACTTTGATACTCTTAAAATGAAAATGTAAAATCTATAAATTTGTTTTATGATTTTAAGAAACGATCCGTTCATATGCATGTAAATAGAATTACTGTCGTATCGATTCTACTAAGCCTGCATTATGTTATAAAAGCATGTGATTGTTACATTTCTCATACCTTTTATTTATTTTTAATAATTTGTAATTTGGAAACTGTCACCTTATTTACAATTTTTTTTTAAATCATTGATTAGTATTCTATTATTTGTGTTTTAGTATCGCCGTCAATTAATTTATAGGAAATATATTCAATGCACAGACACACATTGTTACTGCTACAATATAAGTTATAGTTTGTAATGATTAGTCTTTATATAATATTATTTATCGTAAAATAATGCATTTCTACAGAAATATGTAAATGTTTCTATATATGTAGTATTCCAGTAACTTACTGATTCATTATCAACATTACATTACATTTAAAATCATCAATCAAAATGCATTAGAAAGGTGTTGAAATAAAAAAATCTAGTGGCCTTAAATTATAATACCCATAAACATCGCATTGAAAATGAGAAGAAAAAAAAAGCGTCCCCACTCCTAACCTATCGCGTATTCGATTCTTTTTATAGCGTATGTATGCGCGTCATATAAAGACACTCTGTATATTATTCATTATTTGCGCAGATATCTACATATTAAGCCTCTTAGATTTGTAATAAATAAACCCTTACTTCGAATTTCTAATAAACAAATCATAACTACAAAATTATTATAGTAAAATAATTTGTGGGTAGTTAGAAAGTAACCATGTGTAAGTTGAATTTGTATTAAACACATTTCAAATCACTTTTTAAAATAATATTGATGTTATGATTTCATTATGTAGGTCAGAGCGAGTACGAATGCAACAAGCGATGCAAGGCAAACAAAAGTACGATCTCTCCAAGTGGAAATATTCAGAATTACGAGACACAATCAACACGTCGTGCGATATTGAACTTTTAGAGGTAAATATTAAGGATAACATAAGTAATATAAAGCTCAAAAAACTTTGGTAATCTATGTAAACAAACATGATTCTTTAACGGTCAGTTGCACACACGTCCATTCACGTGTTGCGAAATCTCAAAAAAGGCTAGACCTATTCGACAAATTTTATTTTTCTATTAATCCGAAAATTCAGTAAACAACTTTTCTTTCCAAATATAAATTGTGGAAAACAGCTAAGTTCACTTGTTAAACTAGTATTACAATATGTAAAGATATTCTATGTCAGTACAAAGAGATTCTTTTGTCTGGAATTTTCCATTGATTTAATAGTCTACTAATCTTATACAATAATAAGAAAACTGTAATTTTGATTATAGCTTGGTGGCTTAGTAGATAAGCATAGCGGCCCGCGATCGTTGTAGTCAAGCAACTTTCTCAAAGATCGGTTACGGGATGGGTGACCAAAAAATTATTATTTCGAGTTACTAGTAACTTGCTTCGGAAGCCACCTCATGCCATTGTTGCCGGCTAAATTTGCAGTCGTTAATACACTTCAAACGGCATTGGGCCAGCGTGAAGGGAGGATCGTGGCTTATCTTCCTTAACCATTCAATGTGAAAGCCTGAGCTCCTGCAGTGGGGAGGTAAAAGGGCTGATTTTGATTATTACCGTATGTAAATCCATTCTGTCCACAGGCTTGCCGGCATGAGTTCCACCGTCGCCTGAAGGTATACCACGCGTGGAAGGCCAAGAACGCTCGCAAGACCACTATGGCCGACCAAGAACGTGCCCCGCAATCCATCATGGATGCAGGTACCCTAAATTTACTGTGCTAATTTGTATCATACTACACTATTTCTACTACATTATTTCAATTATTAAACGATTATCAACTATATCAAGTTTGTTCACAATTTGTATGAAATAGTCATTCTGTAGACTAATACGTTAGTCATGGTTTTCGCATGGTTTATGCTCATCTAATTATAATTTTCTGTTTTTTGGGTACTAAAAACATTTTTTGCTACTATGCGAGCTAAATAAGAATAGGATGAGGCTCGTTACCAACTTCACAGCTTAATTGTCATTTTAGTACTGATAGAGAGAAAAATAAAGTGCGTTAAATATTTTTTGGATTCATTTAACTTCATACATATACGAGGGTCAAACTGAAAGTTCTTAGAAAATCAAAAACTGATTACATTAGCCAGTTATTAGTTTTATTATATCTTTTCAAAATATTGTCCATTCACGTCAATACACCGCTGCATGCGATGGAACCACTGGGAAAAGCACTTTGCCCACTCGTCCTTAGGGGTCTCTTCAATGGCATCGCGATACGCAGCCACCGCTTCTTCAGCATTCATAAACCGCTTTCCTTTAAGTTTTTCTTTAATTTTTGGAAATAAATAAAAATCACAAGGCGCGAGGTCGGGGCTATACGGCGGGTGACCCAGTAATTCAACGTTTGATGTCGCCAAATAGTCGATCGTTCGCTTGGCGGTGTGCGACGAGGCGTTGTCGTGGTGAAGGAGGATCCTACTGCGAGGTCGTTTCTCTCGAACTTTTTCCAAGACAAGTGGCAAACAATTGGTAGTGTACCATTCTGCAGAAACTGTTTTTTGATCCTCTAACACAATTGTTGCAAAATGACCTATCCTTCCAAAGAACGAGGCCACCATTTTTTTTCCCGCACTTCGATCTCTCTTCACTTTAGTTGGCAACTCCTCGAAAGGAAACACCCACTGAGCAGATTGTCTTTTGGTTTTAGGATCATAACAGTAAATCCAGCTTTCGTCACCTGTTAGTATGTCGAACACAGCATTTGAGTCACCTCCGTTAAATCTTTCAATCATTTTACGACACCAATCCACACGATGGAGTTTTTGAGCCTCAGTCAAATTATGAGGTATCCACCGGGCGCAAAGCTTCCTGACCGCTAAATGTTCGTGGAGGATTTTGTGCACTTGACTCATACCGATGCCTAAGCTTGTCCGAATCTGTTGATAGGTCACTCTTTTGTCAGTCTCTATCATACGCCGCACAACACAGATGTTATCTTCAGTCGTCGCCGTAGAAGGCCGTCCCTCACGTAAATCATCAGTGAAATTAGTGCGACCACGTTTAAACTCATTAAACCAGTTGTAAACAGTCGCACGAGATGGGGCTTCATCGTGAAAGGCCAATCGTAGTCTATCATAACTTTCTTGTTGACTTAAATGACATCGAAAGTCATAAAAAATCATTGCACGAAAATTTTCTCGTGTTAAATTCATGATGACGTGACACAGACAATTTTCAATTTGCCGCCAAATCGTAAAACAAATGACAAATGAATGAAATATATACTCAGTAATATTGGCAAAGAGTTATATTTTCAAATTTTAGAATTATTTTTTTATTATATTGTTTATAAGTGGCCAGTTCTAAGAACTTTCAGTTTGACCCTCGTATTAATGGATTTATTATTAGTATTGACACGACTTTATCAAGAAATAATAAAATATATTTTCTAAATTGATCTCTTGTTCTTTTTCTTTATTACTAAATATGAAGTTGACAGTTTTTGTCTAATTGTTAAATGCTGATCTACCTAAACTCGTCGTCATTATGATTTCGGGTTCAATTCACAAATATCCTACGATACTACGATACTGTGTTGATTTATAAAAAATATTTTTTTTGCCTACCTTACACTCTGAAGATGAAGCATAATTCGAACCAATATGGCTATTCGACAGTACTATTCTTATTTGGCTCGCATAGTATAACACCGACTCCACACTATGGCCCATGATGGGCGATCACACACCATCATCATTGTGTTTACGGCATGATCTTCTATAATAGCCCATGATCGCGCATGATCGCCATATGTCGGTTTTTGGGACAATCATCAAAGGAAGTTAAGCCATCAGTCCACACTACACACTGTCGCCGATCACACGATCACTCAGTTTGTATTTTTTATATGGTACGGACGCGCGTTGTTTTGCCTGTAATCGATGCTAAAATGTCATAGCCGAGAAAGACAATCATTTATGTTTATAGAATTATACCAAAAGGAGGCTCCACAAGGACAATGTAGATTCTTGTTTCAACCAATGATTGGCCATCATCGCCGATAGCGTAGACTACCCATAACTGTTTAATATCTATTTAAAAACCTTTCAAGTAACCTTATAGTAAAATTGAATATGTATTGATGAAAATTTTCATAGGAAAATATATAGCTAACAAACAGAAATTATATTAAAAATAGAAAGCAGACAGCCAGTTACAGATCCTCACAAATAAGCTTACTGGCACACAAAATTCATCAGTCAAATATAGTAGCTGGTTCCACTTCAAGTAACTTGCGACTCAAAAATATTTATCAATATAGCATCGTGATCGCAAAATATAATTGAAATGCAATTGTAACGGTACAGCGAAGGCGCCTCGTTTGCCACAAAAGGGCGAGATACTAGGTGCACGTCACCGGTATTTCCGTATACCGTTTGTGCGCACTTCCGCCACCGGTGACACGACGGACAGACGCGGCTGGTGGTACGCCCACTTCGACGGACAGTACGTGGCGAGACAGATGGAACTGCATCCGGATAAGGCGCCAGTACTGCTGCACGCAGGTGACCGTATATCATTGTCATAATAGCATGATGACTGGTTAAAGAAATAAATTCTATTTGGTCAGAAGTAATAGAAAAATGTTAGATACTTTTGTTTTACTTCAATTTAATAAGATGCTTAGATGATAGGCATTAAAGTTGAAGAGTGGGGGCTCGCTACGTCAGTTTTGTAGAAAATGTACAAAAGCGTGACATCATCCGACTTTTTAATTTGATATATCGCCGTAATTGAAGGGTTATGCATAAAATAAATTGTTTATTTTTTTTTTAATGTTACAATAAAAAACATTATATATATAAATAAAAATATTCTACTTAGTGAACGTCTTAGAAAAGAAGATTTTGTTTATTTGCTCAGCATATTTTTTCCAATAATTTGATTCTCATATTATAAAGAGTAAAGATTTGTTTATTTGCATTGGATAGGCTCTGAAACTATTGGACCGATTTAAGTCTTCCATCTATGGGAAGCTTCTTAATACGCGTTGGACATAGGCTAAAATTTACACAAGCGTCAGGAAAACATCTAATTGGTTCACAATTCAAGAAGAAATCTATTAACATGCCTACTTTCATGAAAAGTATACATACAACTTGAACATAGAAAATTCACCTTTTGGATTTTGAATGAATTCCAAATACGCAATCTTTTGTTTTTAGCTGAAAAGGGCCATGGTGAAAAGCGTATTTTGTTTTGTTATAAAATGAAAACTACTGATTCGATTTTTTGTAATGAAAACTATTATATGCCATATGATTTAATGCTTTTTAAATGGCGAATAAATCGTATGGGTTTTAACCAATGAAAACGTACCTAATTCCATCCATAATTGAAAACTTGAAAACTGTGCAGTCAATAAAAAATACTATTTTACTATGTAAGAGCTCTTATTTTGGATTATGTGGCAGGTGTCGACGACATGCAAATGTGCGAACTGAGCTTGGAAGAAACTGGTTTGACCCGTAAGCGTGGCGCGGAGATATTAGAGCACGAGTTCGAACGCGAATGGACTCGACACGGCGGGGCAGTTTATACACCGCACTAAACAGGTCAGTACGAATCAACATCATCATCAGTGCTTTTACGTCCCCACTATAGGGATTCAGGTCTTGTGTTGTTTCTTCAACCCCTTTTCTGGACGGGTGTGGGGTCGAAAAGACCGGTTTAAGACTTAAGGTTGCATTTCCCCTGCGTTAAATAAAAGAGACTCAGGGCTTCTGTGGATGGTAAATGAAGATGGTTTATAAACCTCCACGTTGGCTCAATGCGCATTGAATGGTATTAACGACTGCAGATACAGCCGGGACCAACGGCTCAACGTGCCCACCGAAGCGCGGAGTAGCTTGAGATAATAATTTTTTGGTCACTCAACCCGTGACCCAATCCTTACGAAAGTTTAAGTTAAAAATCCTTAATTGCTTAACAACGACGATCGTGGGCCGCGGCGTTTAACCACTACGCCACCGAGATACTGTCGACGACAGCGACAGATTATTTGTTTTAAATAATAAATTTCAAGAAATGGTGATTCTTCGTTTACTCAAAGTATTTGACCTACTCTTGTTTGTCCATGAACGAAAGTTCGGGCAATATGGGATGGTTCATATAAATTCGTTAAAATCATATCCGTGAAGATTATCTGTACATCAGAGACAGTATCATATCCTACCTCCGTTGCATCCTTATTATTGAAAAATGGATATCTTTAGTTGTATTAGCATTTACAATATACATATATGAAATTTCGTTGTCTCTCACGTAAAATATTTTAAAGAAAAAGAATATCCATATTAATGTATCAGATCAGATATGTTTCAGATCAATGACCTTAATTTAACTATCTACTTTGATCACTGCTAATAAAGAAATGAAAATTACCCTTAAATAATATTGCTTTTTCTATTTTCAGATTCAGTCATACCCCGATCGACTAAATTAACTAATGTGCGCATTGTATACGTACGTATTAGACATGCGTATTTAGTATGGTTGCTATTTATATTTCTATTATATTATATACATTAAAAATTACTCTTCGATGTGCCTTCAAGGGTTCCTAGACTTTATTAGTGCAATATTATAAATTTCCACCGCAGTGTAATAGGTTTCTTAGAAATGAATAAAAATATTCAAAGCCCGCATTCAGTCACAGGACGGCATTTATAAATGATATTCATAAATACATTTATTTGGGTATCTTAGAAATAGCATTTCTTTTAATTAATAATTTAATCAAGTTGAAATTAGAAGGATATTTGCTATTAATTTCACATAGTTACTTTATTCATTGTTGTAATCTGCGATATTTTGTTTACATCAAAAATAATTTAAAATGTAACACGTATTCAAAAAAAAAAATTAAAAATTGTTTCAATAAATCTCGAGTGCCGTTCTGTTAGTAAATGTTATGCTTTTAACTATTTCACATGCATAGTTTAGAATCACATTATACATATAAATTTTTGTTATATAATTGTTGAAATGCGCGTTAGAAGAAAGACAAAACCAAAATTATAATAACTTAGCCTTATATTGATTTAAATATTTAGATGTCACACTTAAAATGTCACTACTTCATTCTAAATTAGCTTTAGTTGTGATTAAATAGTTCGAAATATAAGTACAATAAACACATAAATGATAACTTCAGACACCTGTGAAAATGTTTTTATTTTTTTATATTTTTTTTTTATATATTGTTTTTAGATTTAAGTTATATTAAAATGAAATTCTACTTGTAAACTGTGATTATTTTAAAAGGTATTCTGGTTATATTTAAGAGTAATTAATATTAACTATGATATATTCTTTTGCATTCCCTTAAGATTTGTTTTTCTTATTTTTGTTACTTAAAATTATATTTCTAAATTTAAACGAACATTCCTTAGAAAGAGGCATATTTGGTGTTGACACGTTTCCATTCCCGGTTTTATCCAATGTATTTGGTGTTTACACGATTCCATTCCCGTTTTTGCAACGTTCGATTAAAATTGAACTACAAAAAAATATAAAAGAAAGAGTAGTAAAGGCAATCAGTTTTTTTTTTTTTGTATTCTAACACCAGTATTTGTAAAGACTTAATGTATTAAATTAGATATATCTAAAATGTAACTCTATTAAATTATTAAATAAATAAACCGTGTAACAAAACACACTGCGAGTTATAGTGTAGATAAATAATAAATGTCAATCAGATAACTGACACTTGTTTGTAACGTTAACAGTGAGATGCTAAAGTAATGGTATTTCTATTTAAAGGGCAGCTTCTCTACTATAATAATAATATTCAGCCACAATCTACGTCACACGATACAAACAGCAGTACAAATTATAGGAACTTAATTGGTAATTTATTAAGTTTTAAAATGATACAAAAATTGAATTGCGTTGGTAATTCGATATAATTTGACATGCTGTTGATGTGCAGCTGGATCGGACCTACTACTTTCCTAGTTGATGACACCGGTTCAGTAATTGTTATTCTCAACTTCTATAGATAAAACTTGTTTTTTGAGTATTTTTGAAAAGTAACGAACTCACATTAATATATATCATTACATTAGCATTGCAGTGAAATTAAAGTGCCTTTCTTGATGCAGCAAAGCAGACCACAAAAATGTGAACGTTCTGTGTATTTTTTGCTTTACCAAATAAAAAAAATAATATTTTTTATTTTATTATTTACCTTTAAATTTAACGCAAGCGAAGTCGATATAGAAAGTGCCTTCCTCCACACTATTATTATATGGCACGACTGCTCGAAGTATAACACGCACCTTAGGTTCTCTCGCCCACTGGCCTGTCGCTAAGCACTAGTGGATTTGGGGTGGCGGGACACATGCGATACCTGCCCCGGTCCCGAGTGTCATTGCCAAAATCGTAATAATATAAAATAGTAAAAAAAACTTCACAAAACTACTTTTTCACACACGGATTTGGGGAGGGAAATGCAAAGACACAATACCCAGTTTCCGCCCTGATTCGAATAAATAAAGGCTGATACTGGCTAAATAAATAAATTCTTAAGCCAGTTAGCAGTTAGCTAAATTCTAAGAGCGGCCAATTTCGACGGTCCGGTTATGGAACTGTTAGGATGAGGATTTAAAGAGTCTTTTAAAAAAATAATACTTATATGCTAAGTATCCCTAAAACTATACTGGGTTATTAGTCCGTGGATGCGACTGACCGAACCAGCGGGATGTGGTAGACTGACTCACGAGAGGCAGTCTTCGATGCACGAAGCCCTGAAAATGCTGTCAGTGGTTACAAGAACATTTTCTAGATGTAACAGAACGCTAAAAACCGACCAAGTTCACGAAGGGTTCCTTATGTATAAAAAAGCAAAATATCACGTTTGTATGAGAGCCCTTTTTAATAATAACTAAAAACAAAAACTAAAATTAATGAGTTATAAGCTAAAGCATAAATTGTATAGTAATCGATAAAACAATAATCTGTGCTGAAATATATTTATAAATATTCTTAATAATGAATGAATTTTTTTTTATTCGTACATTTATTTTCTATTAATTAACAATTAATTTAAAATTAATTTAAAAAATCGTTAATTTTAGTTTTTGTTTTTTCTATCCTAAATCATGATTAATAAACAGTTTTCACATCAATTCAGTGGAAAGAAATACGCGTACAGTGTGGTATGACATGACAAAGCTCGCAATAGTTTTACTTTTGGCCACCATGAACGCTACTATAGATTGCGTTACCCCCACCACAGCGGTAACGGAAATAAATCATTTGTCAAAATTCAACTATCACGATCCACGAGCGACGATGTCCGCCCAGTGACAGACGGATAGACAGCAAAGTTTTTACGCTTTAGTGCGGAACCATAAAACCTAAAGATCAGATTTTATGAATTTTTTCCAGATAATAAAACAGGTAATTTTTCCAAAAATATTTACTTTGCTTAATATAATAACAAGAACACTAATCAGACAATTTTAAACAAGATAATTTATCAAAGTCTCGTGATTTGACTTTATTTATATGAAATTAATATAATAATATTGAAATTAAATGAATTAATTTGCAATAACATAACAACATTGAATAAAATCTAATTTTAATAATATAATCAGCAGTCTTACTTTTACTGAAACCTAATCATATTACAATAATAATAGTACATTTAAATTTAATTTACATTTCAAATCAAAATGCAATTTAACAATGATAAAAATCACCTACCCAAGTAATAAATTGATGTAATAAAATATTTATAGATTCAATATTCATTCAAATATTATAGATTCAAATTCAAAACAATATAAAAACTTATGCGTGTCAGATATATCATTGAAGTTTTGACATAATAACAGCTAGCTTTTAAAACTAAACTGTTAGAATGTTTATTTCATGCGCTGATTTTTCTCCACAACAAAAAGACAATATTTTGAAGTACCCGTTAGAGAAAAGTCAACAATGAACATGTTTAATCAATCAAATAACAAATAATGTTCATAATATCAAACACCACCCGCTACGGACACACAAACGCGCGAGATAATATCATAATGGTAAAGTAACTCTGAGGAATAGGGATGACGCCTGGGTAAAAAAACAAAATATATTCCGTCAGTCAGATAATAGAAAAATATTAGTTATGTATTTGTTTTTACTTCAACTTAATAAGAATTAGCTTAGATAACAGGAATTAAAATTGAAGTGTTGTAAAAAATGTACAAAAGCGTGACGTCACGCGACCTTTTTAAATCAATGTATAGCCCACAGAACACGAAAAAGGTGTTCTGTGGTATAGCCGTAACTTTTTGATTACCAAAAAAATACGTGTTTAATATTTTTCAACAATCTACCTGACGGACAAACAAACAAAAATTTGTGGTCATCCCTATTATATATACTTACATACAATCAACGTGGATAACGTAGTAAAGGAGGGGGGGAATAGGTGCATTTGCTCCCCTTAACTTATGATAAATTCATCAAACTATTCGTGGACAAGTAAGCTTTAGCTTATGTCGCGGATGGAAATCTTCGTGTACGCAGAATAGACCTACTAATGCCTACTGTAACCAAAAATAATGGGCCATAAGACGAGGCCTGTAGCCGAGACGTTCCAGTAAGCCAGGCCAGTATTGGCCTTGTGTGAATGGAAATAAATCCTCAAGCCAGTATTTAAGCTTATCCAATAATATATAAGAAACGGTTTTATTTCTAATTACTTAAACTCATTACTGGATTGTATCAGCCACTGGCCTCGTATATCTATATTGTCCATTACTTTAAACTATAATCAGTCTTGTTTAGAAGGCAAAATCTTTTTAATTGAAGTCCGTTCACTGTCGTCGCATTCGGCAATAGTATGTCTACTCTGCATAGATGAAGTTTTCACTTGCAACTTACTGTACCCAGCATTACCTAAGGGTGGGCCAAATTATTTACTTAGGGTGGAGCAAAAGTAAGGAAACTGGATAAATAATTAAAAGTTAAAATGCTTATTTCAATAATAATTTGGTTTTGAGCTTCAAGTCTGGATGGCCCAATATAAAAAAATGTATCCATCATAGCGAAATCACTTCTAGTTTACGATAACTTTTTATTAACTTGCTCATTAATGTTTTAATAGGAATGCTCGAGTTTTATTAAAATAAGGCGGATTATTCCAGTGCAAGTATTGAACGTTTATGAATAATTATATGTAATCGGGTCTTGTTCGTGCATCTCCTCGTGACCACGGCTGCTGTAATGTAGCCGAAACGTCGAGGTAAATTAATAGTTTTAAAAAATGCACGAACAAGACCCGATTACATATAATTATAATGTATACAAATCGTGTGAGTTTATGAATAAACTGAAATTCATACTTTTCTAATTTTCTGACGATTAAGCATCAGATGAAAATAGCTAAAAATGCCCCTCCATAAAAGTCAGGACCCAGCATGACATCTTTAGTGTCAACTTAGAATATATTATGAATAACATGGGACCTTGGAGGGTTCATTAAGAATTTATAAACATTTTGTAACAAGACATATATGGTTGTTCTTTTAGTGTACAATAGAACGCGACCTCAAATCTTCTTCAGTTGGAATTTTAATGGGACAAATTTCACGTTCAAAACAGCCCTGCAGGTTATGCTTCTCGAGCTCACTACTGCTGCAAAAAGTCTTGGAACAATTTCCACATTTAGCGTTCGAATGTTTAGACATAATGTGCTCGGATATCAGTTTTTTCGATGAAAACATAAGGTGGCAAGTGTCGCATTGGAATTCTCTTAATTTGTGTTCTTTTTTATTAATATGCGAACGACGCATATAACCTCTTTCTTTGGTCTTCGAACTGTCGTCGCATTCGAATATTTTCGACGACCGCTTTCCTGAGTGCGACGTCTTCATGTGAAGCGCCAAGTACTGTTTCAACGAGTACTTTTTCGGGCACATGGCACATTCGTATTTCTTCAAGCCACTATGAACGGCTATTACATGTTTCCGTAACGAATCCATCTCGTAGAATTCTTTTTGACATATATCGCATTTGAATTCTTTTTTGCCGATGTGCCGTTTCTCGTGCATGATTCGTCCGCTGATATCACTGAATTTCATCCCGCAGAATCTGCAAGCGTAGGGCTTGACGCCAGAATGAGTCCGCTCGTGTCTTGCCAGCGCTGAGGGATCGCTGAATGCCTTGCCGCAGTTTGTACACTTATGAGGCTTGTCTCCCGTATGGATTCTCCTGTGATTCTCCATATTACCTTTGCCAAGAAATTCTTTGCCGCAGATGTCGCAGGCGCAGTTTTTGACGCCCGCGTGCCTATTCAAGTGTGTTTTCAAAGTGGCCGACTGGTTGAAACGTTTACCACACAAATCGCAACCATAAGGTTTCTCTCCCGTGTGTACGCGTTCGTGTATCTTCCGAACGCACACATACGGGAAAGTTTTGCCGCAATAGGAACAAGGGTGACGTCCCTTAATGTTTTTGCTCGTGTGGTTAATTTTCCGTCTTCTATTTTCCACTTTTGATTTCACGACCAGTTCCGCCTTCAGTCTTGGCCCTTTCGGCTTCGACGTCTCCACTTCGACCTCTACAATTTTAGGACCATTGTAATTAATTATTGGGACCCAAAATTCGTTTTTTAATGCGCGCTGTTTTCTCAAGGTCAGTTTCTCTAGTGTCTCTTTAAAATACGTCGGATGAACTAATTCTTGATGCCTCAGAAGGTCTGCTTTGATATAGAACCCGATGCCGCAGTGACAGTTATGCGGAAATGGGTCGTGGACCGATGCGTGAGCATTCAGTGTACTTTTCTGTACAAATCTCATATCACATTTATTGCATTCAAATCGTTTTATAAAGCGTTCATTTTGAACGTCACCATTCCTAAAAAGTAATTAAGGTACCAAATATAGACATCTAAAGAAATTGTTATAACTCTTACGGATTAACATGACACCTGATGACCTATTATATTTGTCCTCGAACGAAAAGTAAGAAACATTTTAATCGTTATTATAATTTTGTTTTAATATTCGTATTCTACACGAATATTAATAGATCATCCTACACTATCAAAAAATGCGTTTCTTTGGAGTCGTATTACCATCTCGAAATTAAACAAAATTTCGTTTTCGAAGAAAATGAATAGGCCTTCAATTCGTACGAGTAATACATATCGTTTCCACGATTGATCCTAAATATCATAGGGCTAAACGCTAAAACTAGGGCTTTCAATCTCGGAATACCAAGATCTCGGTATTGAGGGCAAAGGCGGATCCAGGTCACAGAGGTCATGACCCCCATCTGGGCAAGGTCCTGCACCTAGGTGGACTACTAATTAAAATTGTTATCTAAACATAATGTATTTATATATTTTTTGTCCCGATATAGATTTGGTTAAGTAATTTCAAAATTTCACTAATTTAATATAACACTTTGTATCTATTATTATCAAAATTCACTTGTTATGACTTGACCACGACTATGTGACCCCTCCTGGCGCCAAAGCTGGATCCGCCCTTGTTTGCGGGACTGGAAAGAAGCAAGCACACGACCTCTCGCGAGCGCAATATGTGACTGACGTGACACTAACGGACAAAATGACGAAACTAAATAAAGTAATAAAATTACTTTTGTCAACATTCAATTGAATGTTTCTGGTTTTTATTTTAATTTAGAAGTAATATGTTATTTAGTCGAAAGATTTATTTACGCATATAGTATGCATAAACTTGTAATAGAATCTTTCTGGCTATACCATTTGTATCTGGCTGACGGTATCATTAAAAAGTTTTAATTTTAAAGAAGATAACTCGAATTAAAATAAGGAAAATGCGTGATTTTCATTTTTTTTTCCTTACTGTCAAAATGTGTAAATTTAATGAAGAATTCAGATACATTTAAAAAAATTAACGCAAACCGTTAAAAAAAATGTCACATTTATGGACCTTGTGCAGTTTCTGTGAAAGTAGCACAAATTTGGTTGAAGCGTTTTACAGTCCGGAAATTTACATGTCAAAAATGTACGTAGCTCCGATCGCCCTGTTACGGATAAAATGGATGTCATTTTTGAAAAAGTGGAACAAGATCGGCATATCAGTAGTTACGACGTAGCTGAAGAACTGGGGACTGACCACAAAACAGTTTTGGCGCATTTTTTAAAAGCTAGGTACACCAAAAGTTTGGATATTTGGATACCTCTCGAGCTCACTGAAATTAACCAAATGAACCGTGTACTCATTGGTGATTTTTTGTTACGGCGTATTGAAACCGAAACATTTTCGAAGAAGCTGATAATTGGTGATTAAAAGTGGATCACGTACAACAAGATTACAAAAGTGGATCACGTACGACGACGATCCTGACCTTGCCACCTTGACTCGGTCTCTTCAGACTTCTTTAGGGAGTGTCAGGTTAACATCAAGCAAGGACTGCCAAAACCACTTATCGCGGTTATTGATCGGAAAGCCCAAAATTTCTATAGGAATGAGATCATGTCCCTACTTACAAGATAGCAAAAAGTTACGGACAAAATGGTACCTACACACTTCAGTTAAATATAAATAAATTTTATAAAAAAATGTTTTAATTTTAATATAAAATGCGAAGAAACTTTTTCCCCAACCTAATATTATTGCTGATTATTAAGGCTGACAAAATATTTGTATGCTTGTCAAATTGAAATGCGTTGGTTTTTTTTGCTTACCAAATTTTAAAATGGTTTCTAATTATTATAATTAGTTCTGTTTATAAAATACTCACTTTTTCTTTACATGTTTAATTAAATGAAGATTATATTGTTCTTCATTTGGAAACATCTCATTACACTGTTTGCAGATTTTACTTTGAGATGTCATGCAATCGATTTCCACATGAGCTGATATTACCTAAAAATAATAGATATCAGATTGTAGCTAATTAAAATAGTATATTATAGTTAAAAATGTAAACGCAATATAAAATTTCTGCCTCGGTTGGAAACAGTTGTCGATCGGGACCTATCGCCGCCCAGGGCCTCCGATGAGGTTAGTCCGCCAATGAGTTTATGGAAATTTTCTCATACATTTCGCTAAGCAGAATGGCTATCATAAAAATAGAGATCAAGCTTGTAATAGAGATCAAGATGTATGAGTTTCCATCAAAAATATATTATTTTTAGTTACATCATCATCATCAGCTCTATTACGTCCCCACAGCAGAGGCTCAGGCCTTCCTTACCGATGGTTAAGGATGATGGGCGATAACCCTCCAAACTGGCCCAAGCGGATTGGAAGTAATTAACGACTGCAAATAAGCCGTTGGTGGCTTAACGTGCTTTACGAAGCACGGAGTAGTTCGAGATAATAATTTTTTGGTCATTTTTTGGTTGCGAAAGTTGCTTAACAACAACAATCGTGGGCCGCGGTGCTTATCCAATTCATCACCGAGCTACATATTTTCTTTCTCTCTCTCTCTTTCTCTACTGTTCTTTACTCCACTGCTGGATATGCCTTTTGGTAACGTTTCTATCTTGCTCTGTTTACAGCGATTCTGTACTAGGTCGGCCCTACCGTCTTTTTTATTTCGTCCGACCATGTGTCTGATGGTCTGCCTACACTTCGTCTTCCCATTCGCGGCTTCCAGTGTAGACTTTGCTTCATCTGTCATTATCTCACATATGTCCTGCCCATTGCCATTTAAGTCTCGCTATCCTAACACCTTTGGTTACTTTAGTGCGTTGGCGGATGTTGTTTCAGATCCCGTCCCGTACAGAAATTCCGAGCATAATGAAATATATGTATTGCTCGTTGGATGACCTTAAGTCGATGTACCGTCCCCTCAGTCAGAGTCCATGTTTCGCAACCGTAAGTCATGACCGGAAGAGCGCACTGGTTATAACCCTGTTCTTAGCTCCTTGGAACTAGCTCCTAGTTCCTAGGAATTTTGCTTCGGAATTATGGTTCAGTTTACCGAAAACTGACCATCCGAGATGCACTCGTCGGTCTTTTTCACTTCACAGGGACCTTCTGCCTGATTAAATTTTATGTCTACAGTAAACATACTCGCCAACTCTGTCAGTGATTTTGTTCCTAACTAATCTATCTCCAGGTGTATCGATAATGCATTTTGTTTTTTCGGAATTAAGCTTCAGTCCGTCATTCATTAAAGCCGTGTTGAGGTAATTTATTATTATCTCAAGATTTTTCGTTGTTTCGGCCATCAATACTACATCATCCGCGAATCTAATATGGTTTAGATATTGACCGTCAATAATTATGCTTAAATCATCCCAATCGAGTGTCTTGAAGACATCCTCGAGGACATTCATGAAGAGTTTCGGAGATATAATATCCCCTTGTCGTACATCTCTTTGAATTGGAAGAGTTGTTGTGCCGTTTGGTGCTGGATGGTCAGCGTGGCAGTTTTGTATAGGTTTTTAAATAAGCTGACCTATAATATATTCTGCATCTCTGTAGAGAGTAAAATATGGCCCAATTCCATATCGAATCGAAAGCCTTCTCATAGTCCACGAAGCCAAGGTAAATTGGTTTGTTGAATTACCTACATATTAGTTACAAAGAAACCTAAATTTTTTGTCGTTCTAAAAATAAGAACCAAATAATTTACACAGCTCTATCAGTGACGTAAGAGTGCCCAAGGGTCTCTAGCCACCATAGTAGTTTCTTTTATAGGCAAAATTTTTTACTAAGAAGGATCATGACACTAAAATACTTATTACTCAAGCTACAGTTTTGCCATATTTTACCTACAACGAGTGGACTAACAGTCAACTACCATCAAAACTGAATCCAATTCAAGTGTAACAGAAAGATGTGGGTAGCAGTCCTGAAGTTATGTTACACACAACATTTATTATTTGGTAATATCGAAGAAAAACCAAGTATATGAAATCTGTCTTCAAGATATACTTACATGTTTTTTAAAGTTTTCACTAAAGCCATTGAAATTCATTTTTGAATACAATTTTTCTAAAAATAATTTATGTTTGTACCTGGAAATAAAAAGAAAATATTTACACATTGATTACACGCGCAACATTTTAACCCAATTTATCAAAGTAATTTATTGATTATGCAGAAAATAAAAAATACACGTATGATATTCTTCAATAATCTACCTGATGAAAAGAAAAACAAAAATGAATCATCATCCCTATTGACATTTACAACCTCAAGCAAGTTAGCTTTCTCCGTGTGAGACGTCCGACTTGAATGTTAGCATTAAAATCAGCATTGATTGATGCTGATATCAAAAACAATGCTGAAAATCAGCGGATGCTGATGCTAATATTCGCAACAACCCTGGTACTAACCAAATATGAACCTTAATGATTAATAATAAAAAATTATTATTATTATTAATACTTACTTCGAATCATCTAGTGTCATTAAATGTGTACAATATTCATCCAAACTTTGGAAATGTTTATCACACTTTACTTTATCAATAACCACATGGGCAGACATCATCTAAAAAACATTACAATGTCTCACTTGAAAAAATAAATTCTGATAATTAAAATTACCAATATCAGACAAAAGCCATTAAAGGAGTATAAAATAGTAAAAAATTCTACATACATGATCCATAAATAATTTATTGTAGTTATTGCAGTCCATTTCTTCATCAAATTTGTTTTAAAACAAATTAGTCACATTTGTACCTGAAAATTAGACTAAATAAAATATTTAAATATTCAAAAGAGATATTTTTAAAATATAAAATTTCTATGCTTTTTTGGTTGGACATATAAATTGTGAGATTAATTTGGCAATTAAGTTAATATAGATCATCGTTCAAGTCAAGTTAATAATAATCATCATTTTATTAAGGGTTTAAAAAAATACTTATGAATTGACTGACAATGACAATATTGAAACTACCCTCTTCTAGTTGTAATTAAATTTGATTACTCTTGCCAAGAATAAGTATTGGGTGCCCGACATCATGAGTCTTGTGTAGAATCTCTGCAGTACTGGAAGACGAAAATGCGACACTTTGACACTTGGATGCCCGACATTATGTCTTCGGCCATTTATGAGACTGACTGGGAATCTAGTTGTTTTGTTGATCGAGGCGTTATGTCAAAAACTAGAGTCAATTATACAAATTGAATATTTTTCTAGTATTTAGCACACTAAAAACAAGAATTCTTCTTCTTTTTCTTAACTTTAATGGCACTTTACATCACCATAATACTGATGTTAAAGTTTTAATTGATTAATACTGAAAAGTTTAATTAGGGATTAGACTACTGAGGCATCACTAATTGGCTGAAGGTCAAACTTGCTATTAAGTGAGCGAGGAAGATATATATATATATATATTGCCTTTCGGCAAAATGACTGTTCTTCTTCTTCTTATTTTTAATTAATAGCTTTGTCTTCTGTCAACCAGTGTAATCTTTTGAACTATGAATGGACTACTGTCAATCTCACCTGTTGAATATTGTTATAAATGATTGGTAGATTTTCTTATTCCAATGTTTCCAACAACCATACCATAGGGTGCGAAGTTATTATCTAACCTAAATATTAGAACCTGTCTTCACAGTACTGACAGTAGAGTAAATAATATAAATCGATTACGGCGGAATGCTGCCCCGTACGCGTGATTTAGATTATCATCACAAAATTAATAATAAATAAATATCAATAAGGTTTATTTACTATAACGAGTAACTTGCAGGAATATATTATTAATAAACAAACAAACACAAACCGGCTCCCCTTTCAGTGACATATGAATGACAGATGTAGGGATGCAACGATATATATAAATCGATATCGACGCCTTAAATATCGTTTTTATCAATACCCATATGTCGAAACCTAAGTCCAGATAAAGTCTAAAGAGTAAATGTGTTGAGGGAGACTGTTAGAGGGAGACTAAATAGCCGTTTCTATGAACTAATAACGTTTTATTATATAAGTATAAATATTCATATTTTAATTTAATGACACCACAAATCGACAGACGTATTCAATTCAAAGCTACACTTTGGTATGTATTAGCGATGATCTACGGAGGTCGAATATCGTGCCTTGCTGGTTGACTACCAACAAAGACCTTCTTGGTTTAAGATCTTTTTAATTAATTTAAATTTAAATATTGACATTTTGACAATCTGTTC